GAGCTACGGGTCATGCAACAGCCAAGTAAAATGCTGGAAAGACTAGAGTGTGAATCAACTAAACGCGAGATGAGAGAAAGATGATATGTTGAGAGAGCTGGTATGTGGACAGGCGCACACACATCATATATATATACACATACATATACTATAGACAATGCCTATACTATCCATGTCTTTTTCCCTACATCGAATATCTTCTAATATGTGTATCATCGAAGGAGGTTTAGCTCGAAAACTTCCAAGTTACGAACGAATGGTAATGGCCAGGCTTCACATCATCATGTCAACCACAGAGGTAGCAACAATAGTTGGCCTAAGGTGGGCGAGTTTTGCATTTTGCACCTTCAAAAAGTAGATCGTAGTAAGAGTACGGGAGCGCATGAATTTGCAGGTGAAACCATGGAAGTGCGCGAATCATTTCCTTCACAGATATGGTGGCCCCAGGTGTTGCCAAGGGAGGGTCTGTGGTCCGCCTTTCGGGCCTCGATTTGGGAAAGTTGTCGGCAAAGTGCACGGGACTAAAATTGGAATGATAAGGTTTGAAAAACGCGCAAGGGAATGCAGCGAGAGCTCAAGTAGGCAGCAAAACTGCTAAGCAACTGAGGGTGGCAGGCCTCTTTTGGAAGATGAGGTCCAAAAGCATGCTATTAAAAAATGATGGCATCAGAGCAGAGCAGAAAGTCCGCACGCGGAATCGTGCGAGCGGGAAAGTGTTAGTGATGCTGCAACCCTCCTATTTTTCAGTCATGGTTGCAGCTGGAGGTTACTATAAACGCGTTCTGTGAGCAAAAAAGTTGTCAAACCGCATCAGAATGGCTGCGCAAGGATTAGAAGTTGGTTATAGGAGCTACAGAAGACAGAAGTGGTAGCTCAGAGCAGAAGCGGACCAGAGAAGAAGTAGCCAAGATAAGAGGCAGCTCAGAGAAGAGGCAACTGAGAGAAGAGGTGCCACGTCTCTGAGCAAATTAGGGAAGAAATGCAGTCTCAGATAGGAGTTGGCCCAGTGAAGAAGTACTAGCCCAGGGAAGTAGAGAAGACTTGGCTTCGGGAATGGGTAGCTCTACAAAGAACAGAAGTAGTCCAATCATCCTTTTTTCGTTCATGAATGCGTAAATTTGTTGGTTAATTCATTGGTCATCGTATTCATTCATTCATTCATTCATTCATTCATTCATTAATTCATTAATTTAATTCATTAATTCACTAATCCATTCATGCATTGCATGCATTCATTCGTTATTGGTTCATTCAAGCCATGCTGTGATTGATTCATTCATTGAGTCATTGAGTCATTCAGCCATTTAGCAATTTAGTCATTCAGCCGTTCAGCCCTTCAGCCATTCAGTCATGCAATCATTCAGTTCACTCATTCAGCCATTCACTCATTCAGTCATTCTTATAAATTTCGTTCTTTCAATCTTTCATTCTTTTGCTACTGCTACTGCTACTGCTACTGCTGCTACTGCTGCTACTGCTGCTACTGCTGCTACTACTATTGCTACTGCTGCTACTACTACTACTACTGCTACTGCTACTACTACTACTACTCCTACTCCTACTCCTACTCCTACTCCTACGCAGTCCTAGTCATATTCCTATTATATACTCCTACTACTACTACTACTACTGCTGCTGCTGCTGCTACTGCTACTCCTACTACTGCTACTACTCCTACGCAGTCCTAGTCCTATTCCTATTACTCCTACTACTACTGCTACTACTACTCCTACTACTGCTACAACTACAACTACAACCACACCTGCAACTACACCTGCAACTACACCTACAGCTACACCTACAGTTACAACTGCAACTATGACATATATACTACAGCTACAGCTGCAACGACAACTCCACCACACTACACTAGATTGCACTGCGCTACCACTAGACTACACTACAGCTACACCTCAAACAGCAGCAGCAACAACAAGAACAACAACTGCAACTGCAACTGCAACTGCGACAACGCAACACTACACTGATTGCACTACACTACAACTACAAGTACACTACACTAGAACTACCACTACACTACGCTACAACTACAACTACAACCACAACAACAACTACAACTACGCCTGCACCTACACTACACATTGCCCTACACAACAACTACAACTACGCTACGCTACGCTACCACTAACACTACAACTGCACAACTACAACTACACTACACTATATCCAGCAGTGGTGGGTGAGATGACCACTGCAACCACTCCAAGAAGCACAACTCTAACCACCTTTCGGGTCATCAGTGGATTCGCTCTGCCATCCATGCGTCGCAACAACTCGCCTCTCCTATGGTGTCCCATGATTGAAACTTCCGCCACCGCCTTGTGTGCGGCACAGCTGGTACTTTTAGATGTATACAGAGATGAGATGATATGATATGATACGATATGATGTGATGTGATGTGATCTGACCTGACATTAGTTATCAATGACTTTGTACAAACACAAACATGATCAGACATGTGTGTAGCTCTGTGGACGTGCAGGTGAGAACATCATTTCGCAGCTTTTCAAGCTCGAATGCGCAAGCCGATGCAACTCAACACTATCACCTGCCTGCGTGCATCAAGAACATGTCAATGGCGCAATTTTCCCGGAATGATGTCGTACAAGAAGGCTTCGTTGCCAGTCCATAGAAGAACATGAAGAACTGCCCCCAGGCCCCCGCTTTTGCTACTAAAACCCATCTCCATCAGCACATTCTCATTTGCTTATTCAAGCCCTCCTTGAGCACGCGCAAAAGCAATAGAGCCCCAACTGCAAGCAGCCAAATTGTGGAACGGACTGACAGGCTTCCAGAATGCGTGCTGTTTAGATGTTCAAGCATGCTAACAGACCTAGGGGCCCTTCTAAGTGGGCTTGACATCAGTTGAAATTGAAGTCACGCTCTAGATATGTTGGCATCGATTGCTCTGGCGGTGACCCCGCCATGTTGCTAGTGGTAGCTAGTTGTATGCCAAAGATGCACTGGCTTCATTCTCGTTTTTTTTTGTATCTTCTGTGGAAAGTAAGGACAGAAAGGCTGACTTGTCACCTTGCACCATGATGCGGAGTGATCAGGCCGTGTTTGTCATTTTTTTTGAGGGTCTTTGCTTCATCTTGTCCTTATTTGCTTTGGATCACTGGCACCATTTGGCACCAAAGCTTAATTCCTGAAACTTTTTGAAGCATTTTGAAGCTCCCTGCGTTTTGGAGGAAGACGACGAGTACGAGGAGCATCACGCCCGTACTAGAATGAAACAAATAAAATAAGATAAGACTGCTGCCAAATCATCCAATGCAAAATTGAAACAGGGGGATCAGTTGGATGTAGGAGATGTCACAAATGCCATATGAATTTCAAATCTGCGCATGCCAACCCAATTATCAAGGACAGCTACGAAGGTTCTGAGGAGGAGAAGTGCCTCACATCCTGCTGTTTGAGACTCTTTGATTTTTTCACAGTTTCCATGCAGATCATACAGTTGTAAGATGTCAAAGTATGTTGAAATTATTCACGCTTGTTTCCAACTGAACGCAAAGCAAGGACCCGGACGAAACCGACTCTGAGGATGAGGACGACATGGGTTTTCTGGGTTCGCGCTACGCCGCGGCAAGACACATAGTCCCAGACCATGATAGCGATGCACCACCCCACTGCACCATCAGAATGCAGAGCAAGGAGTCGGACGAGGAGAGTGAGGAAGAGGGATTCCTTGGTGCCCGTTACGCTGCGGTCAGACACATAGTCCCAGAATAGCGATGCTCCTGGCTCCCCCATCTATCCCATTCTATTTCGATTTATCCCATTCTATCCCTATCCGATAGGCTCAATGCCGCTTGTTTTGAGGTTGATCAGATCATGCGCGGTCAAGCCACAGGCCATGTCAGAATCTTCTGGATCATGTGCTCATCGTACATGCTTTCACAAGACCGCTTACATTCGCTTACATAAATCGATCCAAGAATGTCTAAAGTCGAGACTTTTGTTCTAGCAAAGTGATGGTGCTGGAACGTTTGGAATGTGTTTGGCTGTTACACAGATGTTATTAGGTCATCTTAGGTTTGAGAACACAAATAGATTTGTTGCAACTGTGGGCAGGTTCAAGCACTGATGGAGTCCTTGCCTTGATTGACTGTGGGTTCTGAAGAGAGATAGATTGATTGAAACAGCTTAAACATGTTGAAACGCGGAAGCAAGATGGGTTGAAACATGTCGAAACAGTTTGCTGTGAGTGTTCTTTCTGCAGACTGCATAGACTACAATTTTGAGCCGTGATTTGAGATGACACGTTTGCATGCGGGTAATGTGTCCACATTCGTCCACAGGGTTTGCTGGGTGCCTCTCTTTGCCCTCCATATCTTTCACATCTCCCACTTTGACCATCTTACATCCACTTTACCCGTTCTTTAGGGATGCTGTGCCCATCTTGGGGCTTGTCCTGCCTGTCCGTGCCTGACCTGAGGCTGGTGAGAGACTGGCACGATCTGTGACTTGGCCAGGTCAAGTCTTCAAAAGGTCCGCGCTGCGGAGGAGCTCCGAACCCTACCAGCGAAAATCCGTTTCGTTCGCGGAGGAGCTGGTGGACACGAAGGAATTTGTTGCTTTCCAGGGTTCTCCGGCGAGCTCTGACAGCTCACCAGTTGCAACAGCAGAGCCATACCGCAACATGCCGGTCGAGATGGATCCTGAGGCTCTTGAAGGTGCTGCATTTTCACGTTTCAGAAATCTTATGACACCGACAGAGATGGAAAGTCCTCAAGAAGGTCTTCCTGGCAAGGCCGTGCCAGCGATGGCTCCTCTCAGTAAAGTCTCTCATGCTTTTGAGGGGTGCCACGGGTCCGATGGGTTCGACTGCCTGGCACAATGCAACGTAGAATAACCGAAAGTACAGGGCTATCGGATGATATGAGTAGATTGTATGGAATTTAAACATATTTTGACAGCACACGACAACGGTGACTGCCTAACACATCACAACATGTCATAAGAAATCCGATCCCGACACGGTAGCCCCAAATAGCATCGAAGGGACCAGAAAGTCACAACATCGCCTTCTCTTCCGGGCTTTGCAGGCAGCTGGTGCGGATGGAGTTGGTTCGTTGCAGGAGTCTTCCACGTTTTCCACGACAGCGGCAGAGGTGGACGTGCAGAGCCACTGTGCAGAGGATGAAGATGCTGCGCTGCCAGAGCACGAGCCAGCTGATGAAGCAAGCGTCCTAAATGTTCTGGAGGCCAAGGAGGATGAAAAGGAGGAGAAAAAGGATGAGGAAAAGGACGAGGATGAAGAACTCACTGCATCATTGGTTGCTGGCGCCTCTGTAGCATCAGATGCAGAGCAGCCAGAGGGGGAACCATCCAGCTTGGACCAAGCTTATGGTACAGAGGATGAAGAACTGGCTGCGTCATTAGTTGCTGGCGCCTTTGTGGCGTCAGATGCAGAGCAGCCAGAGGGGGAACCAGTGGACGGGTCTGGCTCGGATGGCGAGGATCTTCTTGAGACCTTGGATCATGTACCGCCTAAACCGGAATCTGATCTCCAAGCTTCTGCAGGAATCGCTGGCTTCCCATCAACACTGGGAACCTTTGATATGGAGGCTGCAGGGCGAGCTGATTGCGCCATGCATGGCACACCTGGTCAGCACAGTGACTCAGATGTGCAAACTGACGACAGCCTTGCGGTCCAACAACCAACTGTGGAAGAGGCTGTGAAGAAGATGAGCAGCAAAGAACAGATGGCAGCAAAGATGGAGGAGAGGCGGCGGAAGCTTGAAGGTCTGCTTCCACAAGAACCTCGGGAGGCCACTTGGCATGTGAATGCATGTGCCATGTGTTTTGGTGCTTCCCGTCCACGTCATAAATGGACTGTCTATCTACTGTCCGTCTGTCTGTCTACCTATCTATCTTTCTTTATTTCTATCTATCTAATCTAATCTAATCTAATTTAATTTAAATCTAATCTAATCTAAACTAATCCTATCCTATCCTATGTTATCTATTCTTATCTGTTCTTATCTTATCTTATCTATTCTCATCTTATCTTATCTATTCTTATCTATTCTTATCTTATCTTATCTATTCTTATCTTATCTTCTCTATTCTTATCTTATCTTATCTTCTATTCTATCTATCTATCTATCTATCTATCTACCTATCTATCTATCTATCTAATCTGATCTGATCTAATCTAATCTAATCTATCTAATCTATCTAATCTATCTAATCTATCTAATCTATCTAATCTAATCTAATCTATCTAATCTATCTAATCTTATCTAATCTTATCTAATCTATCTAATCTATCTAATCTATCTAATCTATCTAATCTACCTAATCTATCTTATCTATCTTATCTATCTTATCTGTCTTATCTGTCTTATCTATCTTATCTATCTTATCTATCTTATCTATCCTATCTATCCTATCTATCCGATCTATCCCGTCTATCCCATCTATCCCATCTATCCCATCTATCCCATCTATCCTATCTATCCTATCTATCCTATCCATCCTATCTATCCTACCTATCCTATCTATCCTATCTATCCTATCTATCCTATCTATCCTATCTATCCTATCTATCTATCCTATCTATCTAACCTATCTAATCTTTCTAATCTATCTAATCTATCTATCTATCTATTTGTCTGTCTATCTGTCTATCTGTCTATCTGTCTATCTGTCTATCTGTCTATTTGTCTATCTGTCTATCTGTCTATCTATCTATCTGTCTATCTATCCATTCATCCATCTATCTATCTATCTATCTACCTGTCTAATCTATCTAATCTATCTAATCTATCTGTCTAATCTTATCTAATCTTATCTAATCTTATCTAATCTACCTAATCTATCTAATCTATCGAATCTATCTAATCTATCTAATCCATCTAATCTATCTAATCTATCTAATCTATCTAATCTATCTAATCTATCTGTCTAATCTTATCTAATCTTATCTAATCCTATCTAATCTATCTAATCTATCTAATCTATCTAATCTATCTAATCTATCTAGTCTAATCTAATCTATCTAATCTATCTAATCTATCTAATCTATCTATTCTATCTAACCTATCTTATCTATCTAATCTACCTAATCTATCTTATCTATCTTATCTATCTTATCTGTCTTATCTGTCTTATCTGTCTTATCTCCCTTATCTATCTTATCTATCTTATCTATCTTATCTATCTTATCTATCTTATCTATCTTATCTATCCTATCTATCCTATCTATCCTATATATCCTATCTATCCTATCTATCCTATCTATCTATCTATCTATCTATCTATCTATCCTATCTATCCTATCTATCCTATCTATCCTCTCTATCCTATCTATCCTACCTATCCTATCTATCCTACCTATCCTGCCTATCCTATCTATTCTATCTATCTATCTACCTATCTATCTATCTATCCGATCTATCTATCTAGCTAACTAACTAACTAAGAAACTAACTAACAAACAAACTAACAAACAAACTAACTAACTAACT